TGGTAGCGCGCTTTGGGGCAGTCTGGGCCGCACCAGCTACCTGCGCCCTCCCCCATCACCGGTCTTGACTTTTGTCTTGACATCGGATGCAAGTTTGGGAGTGGGGGTAGATCCTGCGAGTCTGCTCTCACTATAGTCCAGCCACAGTCACCGCGTCTACCTTCAGCTTGCTGAAACTCATGTTTGAGAGCGCCGGTCAAACTGTCGCAACTGTCTGGAAAAGTTAGTGAATTGCGCGAGCCCTAGCACTGTGATAGTCAAAAGGACTAGAACTAAGTGCTGCTAGCCCGTGGTTTGCAACGGTTGGTTGGGTGGAGTGAAAGGTGCTGAATTTTATTTGTGTTTGATGGTTTCATTCACCTCCACCGGCGTCATACTAATTAAATCTTCTGGATTTTTGCTGAAATAAAGTGCTTTTAACCTTTCCACATGTAACCGAGGTGCAAATCGGTGCCCTCCGACCACACCTCAATGTATCAACACTCCAGACTCAGGGGCCTGCGTATGTGACAACCCGAATGTGATGAGACGGTCAGACTAACTGCCACCGCGTAAGCCGCAGCTAGACGAGTTCTTATTTTGTTGATGTTTGGTCGTCAGCTGTTATATCCTTCAGTTGTATGCTAGGAAGAGAAGACAGACAGGATAGCTAAGAAATCGCTTAAGGTTTTCTTTCGCTAAGAACACTTTACTGTAACAGTTTCTGCTTGTGTTGGTACTCATAGTACAAGCGAACAGGCACCCTCACACAAAGCAGAATTGCTGGATTAGAGGGATCCCTGCTGGACCCTTGGAGAAAGATCCCCTTGAAAACCCTCTACAAGCTATTTGTACTTGGTCCGATTAACTCCTGTTGTTGGATTAACCGGCTTCATGAATGTCACGGACAGCAGCGGCCCATTGGCGGCGATCGGAAGCGAGCTCATCGCAAATGTTAATCCATTGTTTGCTCTATTGTCGCAAGCTGTAAATGGTGACGAGGCCCATATGTTCGACTTCCGACTTGACAGTGATGACGCAGGTCTTCAGTTGACCGCCATGTCGGTATCTCCAGTTTGCACCACGAGAGGGGTTCACGACCAATCTGCAGAAGTCCGTCGAGGGCTTACGCAGGACATGGCCAAACCATTGCAATCGGCGATGCTGAATGTACCATGCTAGACTTGGTAGTTTGGAACACCTGCGTTGTAGCTCGACATTGGAAATTCGATCCTGTCAGGAGACTCATAGGAGGCGTTGAAGACACCAACGGTCAAAGACTTCGAGCCGTATAAATTGTCTTTTTCACTGGCCATGTTTCGCAGACATACCAACACCGGTCTGATTAATGCTTTGTATATCAGCAGCTTAGTACTTAAGCTGATGTCTGAGTAAGATCAGAGTGGTCTGGCTAGCAGCCTAAATGCATTTCTAGCCTGTGCGATTCGGTTCTTGATTTCTTCTTTGGCCTGTCCGTTACCAAATAGCGGAAGCAGCTAATTTCTTCGATGGGTTGACCGCTGGCAAACAGTGGTTGTGCTGTGCCCAGATGTGTAGTCAGGAGTGGGTTGAAGTTCTCCTAATGGTCAGAGAAAACTGAATGTGTTATTAGGATTCAGAGAATTTGGGACATCCCTTATGTGCTGCAGCAACGTCTGCTTGCGTTGTAAGTCAGTGGTTATTTCGAGATGCACACAGACTCGGTTCACGACACTTAGTTACACCACGCTGCCCTTCCAGCTTTACTCGTTATCATTCTAGTGTGGGTTGGGGGGGGGAGGGGGGACGTGGCTTCTCAACTTGACGAACTACACAAAGCACACTAGATACCACCCATGAGTGCACCAGTCAAACCACACACACAGGCAACGGGGAGCGTTGTTCACATGTCGCCTGCGTGTTGAGTCAAGCACACTGATTTCAGTCAGTGCGGCATGGTCACTCGCCGGCCTCACTTGGTTGTGAAATGTTTGGTTGCTTACGTTCTTTATTCGCAGGCATCACGCACAAAGTGTTGGTAAATTTTACTGACTTACGCCTTGT